GTTGCTGTGAGCTGTAATGCCATGGCACTCTACCCAGGGGGACGGCTTGAGGCTCTGTCTCAAAAAAAAAAAAAAAAAAATGAATTTGTACTTTAACATACAATAATGTAAATGAAGAATATGCTTTTGTAGCCTCAAAATGATTCATTAATTTTAGCACTGAAAGCAACTTTAGAAATACTAATTAAGGGTAAGGCCAATCACTAGGAAGACCAGGTGATTGATCAGAAGATTGGAACTTTCAGCCTGAAGCTATAGAAAGGGGGATGGAGCAGGAGGAGCTAGAGATCAAGCTTATTAACGCTTTTGGAAACTTGACAAGCTTCTGGATTGCTGAACACATAGAAGGGCCAGAATGTTGGAGTGTCCCTCACCTGGTCTTCCTAGTGATTGGCCTTACCCTTAATTAGTATAAACTTATTTATGCTCAAAAGTGGCTTATATTTTTAACAACAGACACTCCTATTACTCAGGAAATTCCAAGGATTTTAGAGGGCTATGACAAGATTTGGGGACAAAAACCATATATATTTCATATTATGTCACAGGGACAGAAGTAATAATTAAAGCCTAATTGTTAGTGATGCAGTTGTTGCCTACTGAAAGCCCGTTCATTTCTTATTTCATAACATTGTATGTTTGGTCTCTTTTTTGGTTGCAGGTAACAAAAAAAGCTCAGATTAGCTTAAGCAAAGAAAAAAAGGACTTAAAAGTAAATAAATCCTCAAAAATAGTGGTGCCACTAGTCTCAAGGTCTCAACTAGACCCAGGTATTATAATGCATCAGAACTGCCTCTGCCTCTCATGGCTACTTGTCTGTACTTTCTCTCAGGGGCTCTGCTTTGTCCTTGGCTTCTCCAAGATGTAGAGCTTAGGCATCAGCTGCTCTGGGGTCAGGTCTTTGTAGAGCTTGCTTACCCCTCTCCTAGGTTCAGTAATGAAATCTATGGGATTGGCCAAGTTTAGATCATGTGCCCACACTTTAGATCAGTCATTATAGCCAGGAAGCTGTGCATACAGTGAGGGGCCCAGTCTAGGTCATATTCTTAATTCCTTGGTTGGAGAGATGAAGTTTATCATGACAGCCCTCCCACCAAAACCATGGAAGCATTTCTATAGGTAAAGAGTGCTTTCTGGGCAGCGAAAACTATAAATAGGGTCATATAGTAACTCATAATTAACTAATAAAATCTGAATGTTAATTTTCTAATTTCCAGCAAGATATATAAGGTGTCAAGTGATCTTAATGTAGTTAGAGTGACCAGCCAGCATTGTTTCTTCCACACAGGATACAGGCCACGTTTAGTGAATGCTCTTGATGATTAATGTCATCAGGCTATGGTAGCTCAGTGATTCTATCACCTCTATAAGAGTATTACTTCCAAGTTTCTTGAAATACTGGTCAGGACATTCTTTGTATGTATAGGACAGTGCTAACAAAATTTAGTACAGATCTGTCAGTTTGCAAAAAGATTGTCATTGCTTTCTTTAGAAGTTTTCTGTGATTTACTATTGTTTTCAGGGTGATGTTCCTACCCTTAACATTATCTTCAAGGTCCTGTGTGATCTGGCATCTGCCTGCCTCTCTAACCTCATTATCAGCTTCTTTCCCCCTTACTCAGTTCTTTGTAAGTCCTATCCATATTCATCTTCTCTCAGTTTCTGGAGGGCTTTAACTCCCTCCCCCCCAACACACACCCCTCAGGGCCTTTGCATTTCCACCCCCCCCCCATGGTTGCCAGCACACTCCCCTTCCCCTCATCTGATCAGTAACTTACTGTAGGGGTAGATACCACATTAGGCACAACTCCTTCAGAGAAGCTTTCCATGATTTTACCAACTCTTCCTGCTCTTGTCCTTGTCCTCCAGAGTAGTTCAGTTCGCCAGTTGTGGTAGCACTTCATACTTTCCTACCCAACTCTGTAATGGTTATTATACTTAAAATTTTTGATCATTGTCTTTTTCCATTATATACTGAAACTTTCATAAGGGAGCTTAGTCACTCATTTTTAGTTCCTGTCTTATTTGCCACTATTTTTTAATTTAACATAGTGTCTGGTGTATACCATAAACTTAACACGTTTATTCAGTTAATGAAAGAATCTTGATTGGTTTTACTTGTGGCAAGATACCAGTAGTTTTTTGGATGTAAGGAAGAAAAAAAGAACAACTTACGGTATCAATTTTTAAGGAGATTAGTTGTATAGTTAGGGGTATTGATTTTAATAATTCAAAAATTAACATTTTATCTTCTCTTCTGATAGAAAGTGAAATATAATTTATTTCAATTGCAGTTTAGCAACTTGCACGTAACCCTTTCCATTTTCCTTTCTCTTTTGATTCCCAAAGCACAGAACTAAAGATAAGAATTATTTAATATCTCTGTCTAAGGATCCTTCTCCTAGGAGATCCTTTATTTAGAAGGATGCTTTTTAATCCTGACCGTAGAGTAGACTCACCCAAGGAGCTTTAGAATATTTCATAATACAGTTAAAGTAAACTTTTACAGATTACTTTGGGAATCTAATTACTATTAATAATTTTGGGTTTTAAACATCCCACTTAGAAGCTTTAGTCCATCCACAAATGAGGACTATCTAGACCAGGGGTCCTCAAACTTTTTAAACAGGGGGCCATTTCACTGTCCCTCAGACCGTCGGAGGGCCGGACTGCGGGCCCCAGGACGAGTACGCTGCTAAGCAGGACAGGCAGCAGCGGCAAAAACACCCAGCGGGCCAGATAAATGTCCTAGGTGGGCTGCATGTGGCCCACAGGCTGTAGTTGGAGGACGCCTGATCTAGATGATATATAGATCTATTTTTTTATTATTAAATCATAGCTGTGTACATTAATGCAGTCATGGGGTACAGTGTGCTGGTTTTATATACAATTTGAAATATTTTCACCAAACTGGTTAACATAGCCTTCATGGCATTTTCTTAGTTATTATGTTAGGACATTTATATTCTGCATTTAAAAAGATTCACATGTACCCTTGGATCTAGGCTATATTTAATTCTTCATATCAGTTCACTATACCTGCTTTTATCTTTTGCTAACTTTTATAATGTTTTCTATCTTTTGTCATTGGTATTTTACGTTATTTTCCAACTTCTTTGTGTTGGTCTGCATTACAAGAGCAAAATGAATTCTCTTCTATGGTAGGTGTGAAGTGAATTGAACTAAGCGGTCTTAAGACCAATGAGAAATAGGAAAGGCTGTTTGGACAGCATCTGGCATCTTAGATCAGGGATGACAAATGCCTATCAAATGCTATTCTTATCCATCCATTATAGATATTGCTCATTGATCAGGTACTTCCTGAATCTGGTGTCACAAAAAATCTATTTGACATCTCTGATATAGAGGATCAGTTTTGGGAGAATCTTCTGAAATATCTGTTTTTAAGATTAATGAGCTATTTCATCTATTGTGTGAAGTAACATAATAATAGTAATTTTGAAAGCCCAGTTATTTAATGAAAACTTTAATCTTTCTCATATTTGCAGATGTTTGTGAACCCCACTAGATGTATTTTTATAGAGTGTTCTTAAAGTATAATGTAATTTTTAAAAAACCAAAACTTGTATGTCATATCTTTAGTCTTTAAGGGATATTTTTTATAATGTTATTTACTTTTATTGTGCTTTCCTTCTGTTTTTAAGGAGTGGACCTACCCTATGAGACGAGACATGCAGGTAGGAAAACGTTTTGTTTGTTTAAACTACCCTGGTATTATCATTTTTAAATAAAAGCCAAGTATTTTAAATATTTAAGGTTAATCTCAGATTTTTAAAAAGATACAATATTAGATTGGAACCAGAAAGGTATCGGTCAATTTCTCTTTCCTCATCTGAAAAATTGGATACTGTGTTTAGTCCTTCTGAAAGCAGTTTGCTTTCTTTGTCTAGGAGAGTTGACTATATGGCAATCAGACTTTTAAATAGTAGTTCTTTTTTTTTTTGCAGTTTTTGGCCGGGGCTGGGTTTAAACCCACCACCTCTGGCATATGGGGCGGCGTCCTACTCCTTTGAGTCACAAGCCCTGCCCCGCCTTTTGTTTTTGAGACAGAGTCTTATTATGTTGCCCTTGGTAGAGTGCCATGGTGTCACAGCTCACAGCAACCTCAAACACTTGGGCTTAAGTGATTCTCTTGCTTCAGCCTTCTAAGTAGCTGGAACTACAGGCACCCACCATCGCTTGGCTATTTTTTTGTTGCAGTTATCATTGTTAGTTAGCTGGCCCAGGCTGGGTTATTTAAATACCCTGCCAGCCTTGGTGTGTGTGGCTGGTGCTATAACCACTGTGCTATGGGCACTGAGCCAGTTGTTCATTTTTGTGTTTGTTTCTCAATCAAATTTCATAATTAAGTTGCCCAGAAGACTGAGTAGAGCACTTCCAGTTTGGAATCAATTAAAATGGTATCTAACCTGCATAGCAGGTTTTTTTCCTATATTCAACCCGATAAGCCCCAGGATTAAGTAATTTCTCATTCTTGGGAATACCTTTCCTTCTAAAAATCTTTTGTCTTTCTTAATGCAAATTTACTTTTTAATGATGATGTCAGTACCTCTGAGGCATTACATGTGTACTTAGTGCTATGAGGAATGCAAAGATGAGCAAAATGCAGTTTCTGCCCACAAGAAGCTGATGGGAGAAATCAGTCTTACACACAAATAATTATGACGTCTCATAGAACTAAGTTCAGAATTACAGTATTATATTGATATCTAGGATATGATATATCTAGACCAAAAGCTTTCTATATTGAATTTACATAGAATAAATGTGAACTGAGCATTTGGAAGGTACTTTAAATTGTTAAACTTTGTCAACAGGCAAATATTTGATACTGGACTTTTTACCTTACAGTAAGCGTTTGCTTCTATTAACTACAGGTTATAACTCTAATCCTGTGTATTTTGTGCTGCTTTTGTTTTGGGTAAATAAGGTCTTATGTAATTCCAAGGGATGATTTCTTCTGTGTCTGTTTTATTTCTAGATTATAGTAGAAAAGAGAAGTAAAATCAGAGAAGTCTTATTAATCTAAAAGGCAACAATACAGTATACTAATTCTACCCAAACTTCTTATAGAAAACACTGTGGAAGTTCAAATATCTGACTTTTCAGAACTGTGTTTAAACTGGGAAGGTCTCATTTGATATTATAAGGCACATCTATATTTCTCTTTCTAATCATTGGCTCAGTGTGGCTAGGAAATGCTTCCTAAGTGGCAAACTTTTAAGCAAATTGTAACAACTATGAAAACACCCCACAAATTCAGTTATGTGGTACATTGGTTTGTGTAGATTTAAATTGCTTATAGTAAGTATCTCATTTTTTTTTCCTAGGAAATTTTACCTGGATTGTTCTTAGGCCCATATTCTTCTGCTATGAAAAGCAAGGTATGAATTTTAGGTTAGGTTCATCAAGACTTCATTAACCAGGTTCTGTTGGGTAAGTTTCTTAGTAATAAAGAGTCTTATTAAAGAGAACATCCAGAAACACTGTATGTTAACAGTATTTGCCACTCCCGAGTATCTTCTGCTCTAATTTTACAGGACCATCTGTTTGCAAGTGTTTCCACCACAAATCACAAATGAGGTTTTATGTTTTATTCTCCTCATAAAGACCATGTGTTTGAAAGATTTACCCAAAATTTGACAATTAGTAACTGATTTACTATGAAACATTAGACATCTATTTGCTAATTGCTAATCATAGCTTTAGAACAAGTGATATATAGTTAAAGTGCAAATTGAGGAATTGTAACATTTTAGTTAACCTTTCCTTGTTAAGGGTTAAGAGGATATGATTTTAATTGGAAGTGATTCATTTCATTTCTGTTTTTCTAGACTTTACAGAAGTTGCTGCTCCAGGTTGGAAAGCACAGGTTAGCATCCCTAATCTGAAATCTGAAATGTTCCAAATCCAAAACGTTTTGAGCACCAACAAGTCACTCAAAAGAAATATTCATTAGAACATTTCAGATTTGAGATTTTTGTATTTGGAATGCTCAGCCATTAAGTATAATGCAAATATTCCCAAATCCACCACTTAAAACCCTTCTGGTCCCAAGCATTTCAGAGAAGAGATACTCAGCCTATATTAATGTCCCATATATAGTCCAACAGTAATAGACTTCTTCAGTTAAAATAGGTAGGTTTCAGTTTATAAAGCAACGTTCTTGCCACTTCTAATGCATTCAGCTCTATGAATTATGACAATGCTAATTCTCTTTGACTTTTAATGCCAAACATTGTGTCACAAATGTCTTCTTTAATACCTTGCCTATTTAGTACAGTTAAGTAGTATATGCTGTCTCCATGATATAATTTGATGTTCTCACAGATTTTGGGAGAGTGGGAGTTTTAAAAAGAGTTATTCATCTTGAAACTAGAAATTTTTTTTAACTGTTGAGGTATGAATAAGAGTAACTCTGCTCATTTTGATGATATACAGCTAAGAAGGAAATATGGGGAGTTGGTGAAAATAAGTGCTAGAGGAAGGACAGGGCAGGTAACTATAGATACTATCATCCAAAACAAACAAAAATAATGGGATAAATAAACTTAAGTGAATAAACTCCTTTTAAAAGATTCATTTACTTAGGGTGGCGCCTGTGGCTCAAAGGAATAGAGCACCAGCCCCATATGCTGGAGGTGGCAGGTTCAAACCCAGCACCGGCCAAAAACTGCAAAAAAAAAAAAAAGATTCATTTACTTACAGATGCCTTTCTGTTGTTTTTTATTAAGAGACAAGGTCTCACTCTGTAGTCCAGGCTGAAGTGTAGTGCATGATCATAGCTCACTGCTAATCTCAAACTGTTAGGTTCAGATAATCCTTCTGCCTCAGCCTCCTGGGTAGCTGGGACTACAGGCACACAGTTAAACTGGCTAGTTTGGTTGCTTTTTAATATTTTTAGGCACAGGGTCTTGGTATGTTGCCTAGTCTGGTCTTGAACTCCTGGTTTCAAGCAGTCCTCCTGTCTGGGCCTCCCAGAGTGCTGGAATTATAGGCATGAGCCACTGTGCCTAGCCTATGTAAGCATATCTTTTATTACGTTCAAGGACAGTTTAAACAAAAGGGACACATTTAGGCTCTGGCAACTTATGAACTATTTCATTTTGAAAGACGTTTCTAGTGTTCGTAGATATAAGGTAAGAACATAATTTGCTTTATATAAAAAAATCCATTGAAGGGCAGCTGTTGTGGCTCAGTGGGTAGGGCACTGGTCCCATATACTGAGGGTAGCGGGTTTGAACCTGGCCCTGTCCAAACTGCAACAAAAAATAGCTGGGAATTATGGCAGGCACCTGTAGTCCCAGCTACTTCGGAGGCTGAGGCAAGAGAATCACCTAAGCTCAGGGGTTGGAGGTTGCTGTGAACTATGATGCCACAGCACTCTACTGAGGGTGACAAAGTAAAATTCTGTCTCAAAAAAAAAAAGAAAAATATCCTACTTGCCATTACATTAGAATTCTATTTTTTGATGTTTGTTTTTATTTAGCAATAGTTAATGGACTTTAAGAGCATTTTAAAATAGGTTTTTATAAATGTTTATCGCAGCTCAATTTACAATTGCTAAAATGTGGAAATAGCCTAAATGCACCTTAACCCAGGAGTGGACTGGCAAGCTGTGGTATATGGATACCATGGAATACTATTCAGCCATTAAAAAAATGGAGATTTTGCAGCATTTGTATTAACCTGGATGGAGGTGGAACACATTATTCTTAGTGAAGCATCACAGGAATGGAGAAGCATGAATCCTATGTATTCAACTTTGATATGAGGACAATTAATGACATAGTGGAGGCTGGGGGAGGGGAGAGCAGACAGGGAGAAGGAAGGATGGGGTGGTGGAAAGGAAAAGAAAAAAAAGAAAAGAAAATAGTGACTAATTCTCACATAAATTGGATTTAATTTTGACCAAAGTACATTATTTAAACAATAATTTTTAATTCAACTTGTTAATATGTTGTTTAGGATATTGCATCCTCATTTATAAGTGAAATATGTTTGTAATTTTCCTTTATAATAATTTTTTTTTCCAATTTTAATATCAGGTATATCCAGATGAAGTAGAATGAATTTGAAGTATTTCTTCTTTTTCTGTTGTCTATAAGATTTGGCATGATCTGTTTTTTGAAATTATCTTCTATTTTTATTTATAAATATTAGTTGTCTATTTTTTGAGACTTTGGAAAAATAAAATAAAATAGGTTTTATCCATGATTGTATGTGTCATCTTGTACTTTCTCTCATTAATAAAGTAGGGAAACTCCATTATAGATCATCACGTATAAACTAAGGAATGAATATTGAATTCATTTTGGAAGCTCAGTGCCTGTAGTTCAAGCAGCTAAGGTGTCAGCCACATATACCAGAGCTGGTGGGTTGGAATCCAGCCCAGGCCTGCCAGACAACGATGACAACTACAACCAAAAAATAGCTGGGCATTGTGGTGGGCACCTGTAGTCCCAACTACTTGGGAGGCTGAGGCAAGAGAATTGCTTGAGCCCAGGAGTTGGAGGTTGCTGTGAGCTGTGATGGCATAGCACTCTACACAGGGCGACAGCTTAAGGCTCTGTCTCAAAAAAAAAATTTTTTATTTTGGAGGTTGGCATAAATATGAACATAGAAGATTAATTGATGATTAATTCTGCCAAAAGCTAACCTTACTTTCCCTAATTCAGGATGTATTCAGGAAATACAAAGATAGATAAATAAAGTAGGGAAACTCCATCATAGATCATCACATGTAAACCAAGGAATGAATGTTGGCATATTCTCTAAAGTATGCTGCAGAAATCAACATTTAAAACTTTCAAAGACTGTATTGTCTCAGCTTAGGCTGCTGTAACAAAATGCCATAGACTGTGTGGCTGAAAACAGCAGGCATTTATTCCTCTTCAGTTCTGGAGGCTGGAGGTCCATCGTGGGTTGCCACCATGGTGCAGTTCTGATGAGCGCCCTCTTCCCGGCGTGCAGACCCCTGCCCTTTTTGTGTATTCTCACGTGGCAATCCTCATGGCCTCATCTAAAATTGATTGCCCCCCTAAAAGCCCCACCTCCTAATACCATTACATCTTGAGGGTAAGGGCTTCAACAGGTGAATTTGAGGTGACCCAAACAATCAGTTCAAAACACAAATTATTTTTTATTCTCTTGTGAATTAATACCACTGTTCTAAACTATTTAATGTAGAAAGTGGGAATTAAATACACAGAATTATAAATTGGAGGTGTCATAGATAATTCAAGGTTATTCTGATTTCTTATGTCAGCATGATATGTTCATTCATTCATTGAACAACTTAACTATGTTACACATATTTGATAATTAATGTGAACTGTTAAATATATTTTACATATTTACTATGAGTCATTAAAAATACAGAATCCTTAGCTCTCATGGAATTTGATGTTCTAACTGGTAAAATAACATGTTGTCTATAAACTCACTGAAACCTATACTGACTTGCATTTAAAATAAAGATTTATTACTTGGTAATTTCTAGAATTGTCATGTTAAATTTGCTTTAAATATACAGCCCAAAGCACTGTAGGTTGAGAACCTTTAATAGGAAAATCTTAAATCCTCCAAAATTTGAAACTTTTTGAATGTTGATGATGGAACAGTGAATTTTGTGTTTACATTTAGAGGCTGGGAAGTCCAAAATCAGGTTGCTACCATGATATCTTATTATGTATATGCAAATATCTCAAAATCTGAAATCTAAAACACTCCTGGTTACATCTAGTCTCAACCATTTTGGATAAGTGATTAGCCCAACCTGTATAGAATATAATAAGATGACATTGGAGTTGCCATTTTCATACTATAGAAGAATTTTTAAGCGGTGAAAGATTAATTAGATTCTGTGTATTATGTAAGTTAACTCTGGGTTGTAACAGACAAAGGTATTGAGGGGGTGGGGGTAGTCTTGAGGTTTGGGCTCAGGTCTCTATGTTGGAATGTTGGGTAATGTACTGCCTTGTGTTTCAGTAGTCCCCTCTAAAGAGTGATGGTTACAGTCCAGTGTGTGTCGCTACTGTTTGCTAACCACTTGCTCTGTGTCCCAAACACTATACCTGAAGGTCCCGTCAAGCTCTGAAGTTATAGATACAAAATATTTCTATTAATCTAATCTTGAAATGTCTTGCTGATCACTTCAGGATTTTATTATAAAATCAGCTTTACTATCCTGGATTCAAGGCACAAATGTGAGTTTGTGTATTCTCAAACATCTGTATTATAGTATGATGACTTTTATATTTTAAACTATTTCTCTTCTCTAACCCCCTTTTTTCTTTCTTTTTTTTTCTTTACAGCTACCTATACTACAGAAACATGGAATAACTCATATAATATGCATACGACAAAATATTGAAGCAAACTTTATTAAACCAAATTTTCAACAATTATTTAGGTAAGAATGATTACTATATGGCAGCGTCTGTTGCTCAGTGAGTAGGGTGCCAGACCCATATATGGAGGGTGGCGGGTTTGAATCTGGCCCTGGCCAGCTAAAACAGCAGTGACAACTGCAACAAAAAATAGCTGGGCATTGTGGTGGGTGCCTGTAGTCCCAGCTACTTGGGGGGCTGAGGCAAGAGAATTGCTTAAGCCCAAGAGTTTGAGGTTCCTGTGAGCTGTGACATCATGGCACTCTACCGAGGGCGACAAACTAAGACTCTGTCTCAAAAAAAATAATATTGGTATAGTTTATAAAATATGTTCAGAGTAGCAAATATTTAATGAAGTTTTATTTCAGGTTTTATGTTATCAAACTTTCTTTTGCACAAATCCAGTTTGTAAAAGTGGGTCATCCAGGACATAATTTTTAGAATAAATTTTGTTTAAAATAGTATTTAAGGCTCGGCACCTGTGGCTCAAATGGCTAAGGCGCCATCCACATACACCTGAGTTGGTGGGTTCGAATCCAGCCCAGGCCCACCAAGCAACAATTATGGCTGCAACCAAAAAATAGCCAGGGGTTGTAGCTGGCTACTTGGGAGGCAAAGGCAGGAGAATCCTTGAGCCCAGGAGTTGGAGGTTGCTGTGAGCTGTGATGCCACAGCACTCTACCCAGGGCGACAGCTTGAGGCTCTGTCTCAAAATAAATAAATAAATAAAAATGAAATAGTATTTAAATAATTCATTCTCATAATGCAGAAATCTAAAAATTCAAATGAATGTATACTGAAAAGTAGGTTTTCCTATTCCCATCCCCTAGATACTGAGTTCCCTCCCTTGAGGTACTGATGTTACCCCTTTATTGAGTACCGTTCCACTATTGTGTTATGCATACAAGCATAGTCTTACAGATAACTTTCATTTTTTACACTGGCCCTTTTTTTTTTTTTGAGATGGAGTCTTACTCTGTCATCTGGGATAGAGATAGAGTGCCATGGTATCAGCCTAGCTCACAGCAACCTTGAATTCCTGGGCTCAAATGATCCTCCTGCCTTAGCCTCCCATGTAGGTAGGACTACAGGCACCCACTACAACACCTAGCTAATTTTTCTATTTTTAGCAGAGACCAGGTCTTGCTCTTGCTCAGGCTGGTCTTAAACTCTCAAGCTCAAGGAATCCTCCTGCCTCAGCCTCCCAGAGTACCAGGATTATAGGTGTGAGCCACCATGCCTAGCCTACACTGGCTTTTTTTACTTTATATTTTTTGGAGCTTGCTTTATAAAAGTACTTATATAAAGCTGCTTTATTCTTTTTAAGTTGTATTTAATCCATTTTATGACTATGGCAAAATTTAGTCACTGTTGAATATATTATTTTCAGACTTTTACTAACATTTGTGGTATGTAATGACTATCCCTGTACATGTTGTTTCATTCATGTATGGGTATATTGTTAGTATAAATTTGTAATAAAATTGCTAGATCTACAAATATGAACATTTAAGATTTTGGTGTTGTAAACTGCCTTCTAGTGAGTTCTCTCAGTTTACATTCCCTCTACCAAGTATAGAGAGTGACTATTCCTTTGATATCTCTCCAAGACAGAATTATGAAAGATTTTATATAGTTTTCCAAGTCTGATGGAAGAAAAATAGCATCTTATATAGTTTTAATTTGACATTAACCAGATGTTCTGGGAACAGGTTCTTTATTCTGATGGAAGAACTATTTCTCCTTAAACTTAAAAATACTAGTTTCTTATAGATTGATAGTTGTACTAGAAGTTCTTGACACTGGAGAGGGCATGCACAGAATGTTTTAGTCTGACTCTGAAATCCTCTGTATGCAATCCTCCCAAAGCATTGCTTAGAGCAGGACTTCCCAGTCACTTTAGAATACAGTCTTTGTCAGAGTCCATGTGGGTTAAACAGGATTTTCCTCAGATGTGTGGCTTCAGCATCTCTGTATTAAGTCCTGATTTTTTTTTTTTTTAGAGACAGTCTCATTTTATCGCCCTTGGTAGAGTGCCCGGGCAGCGTCACACAGCTCATAGCAACCTCCAACTCCTGAGCTTAGGTGACTCTCTTGCCTCAGCCTTCCAAGTAGCTGGGACTACAGGCGCCTGCCACAACGCCCGGCTATTTTTTTGTTGTTGCAGTTTGGCCCGGGCAGGGTTTGAACCCGCCACCCTTGGTATATGGGGCTAGTGCCCTACTCACTGAGCCACAGGCACTGCCCAAGTCCTGATTTTTTTTTTTTTTTTGAGATGGAGCCTCAAGCTGTCCCCCTGGGTAGAGTGCCATGGCATCACGCTCACAGCAACCTCAAACTCCTGGGCTCAAGCGAGTCTCCTGCCTCAGCCTCCCAAGTAGCTGGGACTACAGGTGCCCGCCACAATGCCTGGCCATTTTTTGGTTGCAGCCATCATTGTTTTTTGGTGGGCCCGGGCTGGGGATACTAACCCACCACCTTAGGTGTACGTGGCTGGCACCTTAGCCGCTTGAGCCACAGGCGCCGAGCCCCAAGTCCTGATTTTTTTTTTTTTTTTTTTGAGACAGAGCCTCAAGCTATCCCCCTGGGTAGAGTGCCATGGCATTACAGCTCACAGCAACCTCCAGCTCCTGGGCTCAAGCGAGTCTCCTGCCTCCGCCTCCCAAGTAGCTGGGACCACAGGCACCCGCCACAACGCCCGGCTATTTTTTTTGGTTGCAGCGTCATTGTTGTTTGGCGGGTCCGGGCTGGGGATTCGAACCCACCACCTTAGGTGTACGTGGCTGGCGCCTTAGCCGGTTGAGCTATAGGCGCCGAGCCCAAGTCCTGATTTTTAAAGTTGTCAACACCTACATGGTCATGGGAGAACTGTAATTTTTAAAGCAAAATAGACCTTAAAAACTGATTTCATAACTGAGTGAATTGCCTTTAGTTGTGTTAATAAACAAGTGGAATGGACACTTTAAAAAAATAAAATAAGCCTAGCTTATTTATAATGCCTTATTTTAAATGTTTTATAAAGTGTCAAATTTCAAGTCATGTGTTCTCTTAGCTGCCTTTTGCCTTACCAACAATGAATCTTTGGCCCATGAACAGTTCCGTCAGTAGCACCTTCTGATTTTATGAGCTCTTTCTGAGTCAGACTTCGGGATTTCTCCAGAATGTCTTCTTGTAAGGTTATGAGCAGGGGGTCATAGGATCACTTAGAAAACAATCTCCTGGTCTTAGGGAAATTAGTAGAAATAAAAGAATAGCAATGTTTAGGGATACTTTTTGACTTTTTTCTAGGTACACAGGAAAGTTTTTTCTTGCTTATGTTTTTCTTCTGTTTTAAATATGGATTGTTTTATACTGAAATATTAGAGATATTAACATGTTGTTTAAGGTTTTAAATGTGTAAGGTTATATATGCCTTCAAGCATGATAAAAATCTATGACGTAGTTGTTGGGAATGTGATACTTTGAAAGTTGTTTTGCATTCTTTTCACGGTTTTCAAAAAATATTCAAAGTTAATTTTTTTATACATAAAGAGTTTTATTTGAAGTCTGCTTAACACAAAATATTCTATTTTCAGATATTTAGTATTAGACATTGCAGATAATCCAGTTGAAAATATAATACGATTTTTCCCTATGGTAAGTATCAGTATTTTAAAAGTATCCTTTAAATTTATTTATGATTTAACCTCTTAGCTGTCATTGTAAAATTCTTTTTAGGAGATTATTCTTCGTTATGATTGAAAATTGTGTGATGGCTTTTTAAAGAAAACATTTGTAAAAATATTTTTATTATCTCCAAAAATTTGAGAAATCACTTATTGAATTTATTAGATTTGAATTAAATTTTAACTCCTGTATAATGTTTTTTACTTAACAATAGTTCTATTTGTAGCATTTTTTAAATTCTTGGATTAAGATCATTTTTATGTGTATGTTATAAATTAGGAGGAAATTATTCTCAATACATTTCATTTTGATTCCCTATCTGTATTTTATGCTTATGTTAATCCATGTTTTTTATTGTAACACATTATCTTTTGCCTTCAGACTAAAGAATTTATTGATGAGAGCTTACAAACTGGAGGTAAATAATACTTCCTAATGTTTATTTTTAGGAGATTTTTTTTTTAAGTTTTTAGTTGGTATTTGTCTTAAATCCAGCATACAGAATTTGTGATTATATGTTAGATTACTCCCAAATTTGTATTTGGATAAGCTTTCTTAAATATCCCTGTAGAACTGTTTTCAGATCTCTATGAGCTTTAAATATCTTTAATCTAAAAGTCTGTTGCATTCTTTACACAGTTAATATAAATTTTAAAAGTTTGAAAATTAATAAATATCCAAGTAGTATGTATATGATGTAAATTAACAGAGATTCTGTTTCACTACTGTTATGATATGTGGTTTCAGTATATTTCAGCTGCTGACTCAGGTGTTTTTCTGTCAAAGTAACTGTTCATTATTTTTCAGGAAAAGTCCTTGTGCATGGAAATGCAGGGATTTCCAGAAGGTATGGAAGCAGGGATCACCTCTCTCTGTCTCACAGTTAATTATTGAGTTGTGCTTTCTGGTGTTCCCTAAAAATTTTTCTCCTTCTCCAGTGCTGCCTTTGTTATTGCATACATTATGGAGACATTTGGAATGAAGTACAGGTAAGAAAGTGCTCTGAAACCTAGCCGCGATTTAAATTCTCATTAAAGTGAAACGTCATAGGGATGGCTTGGGAGTTTGAAATGAATAATACCTGACTTTCTTGTAGTCATACTTGATTAGGCAGACCCTATCCCATGGGTAGTCACTTAACGTGTCTACCTGTATAAATCTGCTTAGGCTAATATATCTGTATTTTCTGTTTTATGGAGCTGTTGCTAATTTGTTATTTTAAGATGCCAAGATAGCATAGATGATTAGTCTATTATAGATGGATTAACCATGGGGGAATTGGTTCTGATTTTAAAAACACTTGGACTTATGTGTTTGTTAGTGCTTTCCTTGTTTAAAAAACTAATTTATTATGTTCTTCTTTAACAATAGTTGGATGAAAAATTACCTAGGAACTTTTTGTAGCATCTCTTCACAATTTGGGGTAGTCTTTGTAATCAAAAATCATCTTTTCTATGCTTATACTACATAGATTTTTAAAGGGGAAGAGAGGTCATAAGCTTCTTGCCTTAAAACTAAGCAAAAACATGACCAAGTGCACATTTATTTCCTTTCTGAGTTTGTCTTGTTTTACCAGCTAAAAATCTTTTTTTTTTTTTTTTTTTTTTTTGAGACAGTCTCACCACGTTGCTCTCAGTGGAATGCTGTGGCGTCACAGCTCATAGCAACCTCAAACTCCTGGGCTTAAGCAATTCTCTTGCCTCAGCCTCTCAAGTAGCTGGGACTACAGGCACCCGCCACAATACCCAGCTATTCTGTTGTTCTTGCAGTTGTCACTGTTGATTTTAGCTGGCCCAGGCCAGGTTTGAACCTGCCAGCCTTAGTATATGTGGCTGGCGCCAAGCCCCAGCTAGAAATCTTGTAGTAATGGTTCACATCTCTTTCTTTTTTACTCCCTCTTTATGTTTAAATTGTAATAGAATACTTTGTTTACAAGTGTCAGTTCTTGAATATAATTTGAATATGAATGCTTTATTTACTTGAAAAGATGCATTGATGGACTTACATTTTCTATATTTTCTTTATTATTTGGAATCTTGTCGTAATAATAGTGAAAATAAGTGAGAAAGATAAAGGTTAGAGAAGTTGATCAAGTCCCCCTAGGATGCGCAGCTTTCTAATCATACTTTTTCCACTGTGACTCACTACTGTTAAGCTGTATGATTGTGCTCTCCTGTTTAGGTAAATTTTTAGGTAAGTTCTTACTTATGGTAAATTCTGGGAAATGTACATGAAATAATACTATCACATTAATTTCCTTTTTCTTTTTTAAGAGATGCATTTGCTTATGTTCAAGAAAGAAGATTTTGTATTAATCCTAATGTTGGATTTGTCCATCAACTGCAGGTGAATTCTCTTTTCTTCTTCTTTAGGGCAGTCAGAAAGTAAGACACTAAGATCTTTTGTCCATGTCATTTAGGTATAGAATTTTTGATTCTTTATAACATCTCTTTTACTTACTTATTTTTTTTAAAAACTGTCATTGCCAAGAAAAAAAGGTCTAAAAACACATTGTTAATAACACCCTAAGGTAAGATAATTGCTTAGAAATTTCTAAGTTTTCTCTATTTTGATCATACAGAGGATAAGGGAGGTTAAGTATACAAAATATAGCAGCTTTTTATTCTCTGTTTATCTGTCCCGTGTTTCAAATTTTGTTAGTAGCCGGCAGACATACTGAGAAAGACAAAATAATGTATAAACCTCTGAATTAATCTCATTAGACCAGGTATTCAGTATTTTCCAAGAGAGACAATTATAGGCTGGCTAATTGCAGAAATGAAGTTCATATAACCAAGAGCATTGCAAAATGGTTTAATTTATCAAAGTTTAATTTTTTTTTTTTTTTTTGAGACAGAGTCTCACTATGTTGCCCTCAGTAGAGTGCTATGGCATCACAGCTCACAGCAACCTCAAATTCTTGGGCTTAAGTGATTCTCTTGCCTCAGCCTCCCAGGTAGCTGGGACTACAGGCACCCACCACAATGCCTATTTTTTGTTGCAGTTGTCATTGTTGTTCAATTGGTCCTGGTCCGGTTCGAACCCACCAGACTTGTTGTATGTGGCTGGCGCTGTAACTACTGTGCTACAGGTACCAAGCCATCAAAGTTTAAATTTTTAAAAAATGTTTAATTTTCATTTTTACTTAAGAGAGGAGCAGTGGTATCTCTGTCTTCAGCTTAAGTAAAATTTTTTGAAAATTGCTTTTATAGATTATAAAAATAGCTAATTTTACAAATTTCTTTACCTATTACCATATTTTTTAAATTAATTTTTGTATTTTGCATTTAAAAAAGTCAAATAAGCGTGTAGTTAAAAAAATTAAAATTAAACAGTGCCTAAGAAGAATACAGTGTAAAGTAAGTCTCCTTAACAGTATGTCTGAAAGATCATTCTGTAACATATGTATCATTTAGGCCTACCTGCTTAGTATTTTTATAATATATATAATCACAATTTTATATGGTCCATTGCTTATTTAAGGAACTTTAGGTTATTTCTACCATTTCATGATTATAAACTGGAAAAACATCCTGATAGGTACATTTTTGTGTATGTGAGTATACCTGTAAGATAATTCATTATAGCAAAATTGCTGGGTTAGAGTACATTTGAAATTTGGTAGGTGTTTCCAAACTACCTCTAAAATGGTGAAATAGCGTAAACTTACACTGTCAGGAAACAAGGAGTGACTGTTTCCTCCTACCCTAATCTGTACCAGTAGCCAAAAGTCACTCATTAAAGTTTTTGATCTTTGCTATCCTGGTGGTAAAAGGGGCAGTTCCTTTTGGTTTTAATTTGCTTCACGTTGATGGAATCAGTTTGGAGCTTCTTTCCTATGTTTGGATTCTTTGTATTTATTTTTTCGTGTGACTTGCTCATTGGTGTTCTTTGCCTATTTTTCTATCAGTTGTTGGTCTTTTTCTCACTGGTTAGTAAGAGCTCTTTGTGTTAATAAGGAAATCTGTTGTTAGCCCACTGATTTGAAATACCTTTTTTTGAGACAGTCTCACTTTGGCACCCTGGGTAGAGTGCCAGGCATCAGCCTAGCTCACAGCAACCTCAAACTCCTAGGCTCAAGCAATCCTCCTGCCTCAGCCTCCCAAGTAGCTGGGACTAGAGGCACCTGCCACCACCTTTGACTAACTTTTCTATTTGTGGTAGAGATGGGGTCTGCATCTTCCTCAGGCTGGTACTGAACTCCTGAGCTCAAGCAGTCCTCCCAGAGTACTAGGGTTAGAGGTGTGAGCCTGGGCTGAGCCTGGAATGCTATTTTATTGTCTGCCTGATATTTATTTGGATCTGCTTTATATTGTATTTTTGGTTCTGCTTCTGGACTTTATTCTGTTCCACTGATCTGTTTATGAATGCATCTGTATAAACAATGTAAAAGACTGCAATTTTATCTTACTTTATAGCTCAGGATCCCCTCATTAATAATGTTCTACAATTTTCCTGGAGAGTTTTTACAGTTATTTTCTAGTATGGAATTATTGGAAAGAGTCTTGTAGATATTTTTAGTAATATTGCCTCTACATTTATAGTTCAGAAAGAATTGACAACTTTAAAGTTTTTTTTTTTTTTTTGGAGA